TGTAAGATCACAAAATTTAAATAAATAAATTCGAATACATATGTTTGTACATCATGCAAAAAAGAAAAATACATAAAAAACTCTTTATAATTCAAACGAATTTTATCATGTATGTAACACAAAGATCTTCTACTAAAATTAAATGTGACAATTGCAAATGTTGATCAAAATAGATTTCCACTATGCTCAACAACAACAATAATGATAATAGTAATTGCAATTCTTCATATTCATATTCATCTGAAAAGCAAATTGATCAAGTTTTAAAAAATTATAATAATAAGAACAATGATGAAAAACAACACGAAATTAAAGTAAAAGGAAAAGAAAGGGAAAGGATTGTTGATTGGTCGGACGAAGACGATTGGCAGCCAGTATCAATTAAAAAATACTTAAATAAAATATCATCCAATCAACAACAGCAACAACAACAACAACAACGACAACAACAACAACAACAAGATCCATCCTCAATTTATTTCAAATACGATAACCCGTCAATAGACGTGGAACTATCAGAAAAGCAACAAATGGTTTATGACCTAGTGGTCAATAAACGTGAGAACGTATTTTTTACCGGCTCTGCAGGAACCGGAAAAAGTCTTCTCCTATTAAAAATCATTATGGCTCTTAAAAACATTTATGGAGTCGAAAAGATTGCCGTAACTGCTACAACCGGCATAGCAGCAGTTAACATCACCGGCACAACTTTACACTCCTTTGCAGGCATAGGATTAGGTACCGAATCAACAAAAGAGCTTATTAAAAAAATTAAAAAATCAAAAATTCATCGTTTCCAATGGCAAACTATTGAAGCATTGATTATTGACGAAGGTATAATTGGTTTTTTTTATCTTATTGATGGAATAATAACAATCATCATTTGATTATTTATTAATTATTTAATTATCTTATAATTTATTATATAGTCTCAATGCTTGATGGAGACTTGTTTGATAAATTGGAAGCAATTGCACAAGCTATTCGTGATAATAATAGACCGTTTGGTGGAATATTGGTAAGTTATAATAATAGAATATGTTATATATTGATATTTAAGGATTTAATGATTTTTGGAGGTGTTTTTTTTTTCAATGTTTACGCAAATATATATTTGTATATTTTATTTATTAGTTAATAGTCACGGGTGATTTCTTCCAACTACCACCAGTTTCCAAGGATCGTAATGTTAAATTTTGTTATGAATCGAACTCATGGGGTAAATGTATAAAACATATAATACAATTATCCACAGTTTTTAGACAGAAGGAATCTGGTAAAGAATAGTATTTATTATTATTATTAATTTGTCTATTTGATAAATTGATCTAATTTTAATTCTGATTCTATAGATCTTATTGATATGTTAAATGAGATTAGGTTGGGCATTGTGACTGAAAAAACATTGAAAATAATGAATGGATTAAAACTTTCACCACAATATCCTAATGATGGAATTCAAGCTACAGAATTGTAAGTTGATCAATATTCATATATATATATATATATATATATATATATATATATATAATATATACTTATATAATATTAATAATTAATTATTTGTTTATTTATTTTGTTAAATTACAAGATACTCAAGAGTTGATAAAGTTACTAGTGCAAATCTTGTGCTTTTAAGTAAAATTCAAAATAAATCATATATATACCATGCCAAAGACTATGAACCGACCAAAATTGGTCAATTAAAGACACTTATTAAAGGTTGCTTGGCACCAGATAAATTGGAATTAAAACGTGGTGCGCAAGTAATGCTTATTAAAAACATCAATAGAGATTTAGTTAATGGGAGTAGAGGTATTGTTGTTGGTTTTTATTCAGATGCTACTAGAAAAAGTTATTATGATGGTGAAGATGAAATTATGGAGTTTGACCAGCGAGATGAAATATTACCAATAGTTAGGTTTACTGAAAATAGAGAGTTGGTTGTTCGTGAAGCTGAGTGGAGATTAGAAACTGTTGGTAATGTTGTATTAGCAAGTAGACGACAAGTGGGTATTTTTGTATTTATGTATATGTATGTGTATAGTTTTTTTTTTTTTTTTTGTAATATATATTTATTAATATATTTAATGTAACATTAGATTCCTCTTATACTTGCTTGGGCAATTAGTATTCATAAAAGCCAGGGCCAAACACTGGAAAGAGTCAAAATTGATTTAAAAGAGGTTTTTGAAAAAGGTATTTATATATATATATACTCTTTAATAATAACGATTTATGTATAAATAAATAAATTATTATGTTTTTTGTAAATAGGACAAGCATATGTTGCTTTGTCTCGAGCTAAATCATTAGAATCTTTACAAGTTTTAAACTTTACAAGAGAAAAGGTAATGGTTCATGAAAAAGTAAAGAGATTTTACGGGTCACTAACAGATTAATTAATGAATTGAATATTAAATATTTATTTATTTTTTATTTTTTGTGTTTATACATATTTTATTCGTATATTAGTTTATTAATTTAGAATTTTATTAGCAATTAGCAATTTTTTATTATTTCTTTGTTTTTTTTTTCTTTGATTTTTTTAATGTATATATATATTGATAATCGAATTCCTCTTTTACACAAAAACAAAAGATCACATCCTATATAATATCACGTAACACAAATAGTATTATATGTAATGAATAAATAATAATTCACAAGATATTGTTATCACACATGTATTTTAACATTCTTCTTCTGCCTCATCTTCTTGTTGATTAAATGAATGCATTGTTCTAAATGTTAAACTGACTCTACGACTTCTGATTATTTCTTTATTACCATAATATTCTATATAATCATTTGAGATTGAATGTTTATAATCAAATCTCGATGATTTTGTCATGATTAAAAGTGATCTTGGTTCTTTAAAAGAAAAAAAATAGTTAATAATCAAAATCTCCTTCAATGTAGATTTAATTATAGGTTTATTTACTTAGCAATATAGAGTGTTGATTTGAAGAATCTTCTGAATGGGTGAATTTCATTAAGCAAGAAGATAGTAATGAAAGGCTTAATACCACAGGACCAAAAATAGTTGCAGTATCTATATGAGGCATTATTCCTACAATTATATTACATACATTATTTTCTGCCTAATTACATATTATTATAATTATAATTATAATTATAATTATTACCTTGGCCAGCTTCATATTCATTTATTATACACATATTTGGAGGTTCTTGATCAATTTCTTGATTAATAATTTTTTTAATTATAAAATCTAGAAAATCTGGTAATGGACCTAAATCTTTCATAATTTTTCTAAGGAAATTGATCAAATTGAAGGCTTTTTTTTATTTTATTTTACTTTACATCAAACAATAATAGTAATAATAACCTGTATCTATAACTAAATTCATAACCATAATGTTGTGTACGTCTTTTCATTTCTGGATTTGGTCTTTTTAAATATATTATATACAATAATAATATTAATTACGATCATATTATTAACCATATTATTATTATTGCTTACGGTATTCCATTTCCTGACCAATGCATCGAATCAATTTGATTAATTAATTGTATTTCTTCATTTTCTGTAATAAAATTTTCTATTATATAAAGCCCTGGTATTGATGTTTTTGTTTTTGCTTGCATTTTTTAATATAATAAATTATATTCATCTTTTTTCTATTACTCAATATTAAAATTTGTACAACGAAGATTGGCATTTACATTATGGATGTTACACTACCACCAAAATAATTTTTTGATATTTACTATTACGCGATTATAAAAATACTCCGCCAGAAATAAATTTTTTAATACTAATTATTGAAGAAACAAATTGAACTAGTTATTTAACGTTTCAAAATGGATAAATAAATAAATGGAATGAATGGAAAGTAATTTTTTTGTATATTTGTAATGCCTTACTTTGTGCCCCACCTGTTTCTTTGTCATTAGTTTATCTCCCCATTTCTTCATCTGCTCCTTCCATTCATCCTTATCAGCCTCCAAGTTCTTCTTTTCTTCTTCTAATTCTCCCTTTTCATCCTCGTAATCCCTCTTCCACCGATTCAATCTCTCCAGCTTCCCAATATACCTAACGTTCTCTCTTTTTTTTTTTTGGTATGCCAAGCGATTCAAAACTCTTTTTGATTTTCAACGCTGTATCGCTAAATTATGACATGCATCGTTTTAAATTATAATATATATCATCAGGAAAATAAATCTTACATAAACCTACGTAGGGTTCAGAATTGGTCAGCATTATGTCGATATTTTGGTAATTCTATTAACATTTCCGCATAATGCTGGTCAGTTTTAAACCCTACGTAGGTTTACATGAGATTTATTTTCCTGATGATCGTTTTAATATTTTTTCAAAAAAAATAAATAGTTTCAAATACAAAACCAAATAATTGAACATGCAAGCCCAAATTTTTTTGCTGATGTCAAAAGTTAACCAAAAGTAATTGTGACACTCACTATTAAAAACACATGTGTAAGAATAATTACGTCAATATCTAAATACTTTGAGTTGCATGTGAAGACACTTGCCGTAAATGATTGGGCTGGTAGCTACCATCGCCGTAAATAGATACGGCTGCCACAAATAACTGCTACTGTTGCAAATAATTTTCAAGATTAATATAATTATTGTCATTAGTATTATTAGTCATATTTATTAGTCGTGAAGAATTTTCTTGAATTATTTGTGATCTGCAACAACTGAATTTTTTGGATTGTTACAATGAAATTATGTGTAATAGTAAATTTGCAATTATTTGCAGCAGTCATAATTATTTGTGGCAGCCCGTATCTATTTGCAGCAGTCGTGGCTATATGCGGTAGTCGTATCTGTTTGCGGTAACCGCATTTATTCTATGAAAACTAAAATACTGAATTAGCGTGGGTTAAATACGTATTTCTTGTACGGTTTTGAAAAATTGCCCCTTTTCAAATTTATTGTAAAGTACAGAATCAGTACGGAATTTGTAACATACTGAAAAGGTATCAATATGTTTTAGATTTCGCGTATAAAGTACGTAATAAGTACGTAATTTGTAACATACTGAAAGGGTACGTTTTAATTTCGTGTATAAATTTGTAACATGAAATTTTTGGATTCAAATCAGCTGCAAAAGATTTAAAAGAATTAAAGATAATTTTTTTATACATAAATGAATGATAATCATAATATAGAGGTTAAGAAGGTAATAATACAAAGGGTTTTATTTCAATCAATTGAATTTAAATCAAATAATTGGTTATACGAGTCAAAATTTTATAATTTAGGTGTATATTTTAAATTGTTGACGATATTTAAAATTTAAATAATAAAAACGCGCAATTTTTAATTTGATAAATGATGGAACTTTGGCTTTGAATGAGTCCAAGAACATCAATTTACCTCAAGAATTGGCAGAATTGCAAATTTTTGGATTCAAATCAACTACAAAATCAGCTGCAAAAAGATCAAAAAAAATTCATAATCACTGAATGTCTCCCGTGTAAATATAATATTTAATATGTAGTTAAGAAGGTAAAATTACGGAAGTTTTTACTTTAATCAATTGAATTTGGGTGGAGATTAAATTATATGAGTAAAAATTTCATAATTTAGGCATATATTTTTAAATTGTTGATGATTCTTTATAACAACATGTGATTTTAGGTATTATGAATGTTAGAACTTTGGCTTTTGAATGGGTCCAAGAACATCAATTTATTCCAATTTATCAATATTAAAACCTTCACAACAACAATATGCGACTTTTTAATATAATGGATGGCGGAATTGCAGCTTCAAAATGAACACAATAAATATCATTGAGAATTGACTTGATGTGAATTTTTTAAATAAGGGCGCTGACATCTATTGGCTAATATTTTAGGGGGTGGGAGGAGACACCGCACAATTCAAATGAACTGGTATTCCGCAGTAAAACCCAATTATACATACATCCATATCACTAGAAAATTAAATCATATGCTTCAGATATTACTGGATTATAACTCGTTTATGTAATTTAAACGCATTCATTATATTGAAACATTTTCATATGACGCATATAATTAACCCATGAGTTATATTCCGCCCATGATGTTAAATATTAATGGAATATTTCTCTTAATTAGGAAATTTTAATAAATTACATTATTATATAACAAACTTATATCTACTTTGCATATATAAATACCAATGCTCGAGATACTTTACTTTTCCACATTATATTACAAAATAATATAAATTTTATCGCAACAAATATGTATCTTATTTATAAGTCAAATACTTTATATGCACCTTACTCTTATTACAATATATGCAAAATTTATATGTCAGAGACATTAGTTCTGCTATTAATTAGTTATAACCGCAGAAACTTTTCATACGTCTAAAGATATATGCCCCATATTTTTCGGTATGGAATCAAATCCAACGAAATCCAACGAAATCCATACTATGTATAGCTACATCTAGTTTAATAATATTCATAATATTCTGCGATTTTATTAAATATTTCGTAAAAAAATGCACCAAAAACCTGATTACACAAAAAATGAATCCAGTTTTAACTAACAATATAAAACCAAATCTAATAGGTCTAATCCTTAAATTCGATATAAATCACATATACTTCCATAAACACTACAAATAGGTTATATAAAATGGCTAGCTTAAGTGAAAGACGTGGAACTAATTGTACCGATGCTGAATGGGATGAAATTCTGGAGATGAGTATTGTTTATTGAATGAGACTCCTACTGATTGGATGGAACGGATTTGGGAACGTCTTACATATTTTAGAGAAAATGATCTCTTACCTTATAATAGTAAAAAATATCTTGAAGCCAGAAAATTAATAACATATTGGTCTGAGGTTAATGGATTTTATAAAAGCTATGCACCTGAAATTGGTATTGCTATCTGTTTCTCTTGTAATCAATTAGTATATACCGGTAAACGAACTAAAAATATTGGAAATTATAACCACATAGGAATGGAAAAACATTGGGCCTCTCATTGTGCTGGAAATAAATACTGTGGTGTGAGTTATGGAGAATACCAAAAAATCATACAAAAAACCAAATCCGCACGTAAATACGATGACAACTATGCATTACGTCGCTACGAATTATGGACGACAAATGCAATTAGAAGGATCAAACGTGCAAGAGAAGTTGGAAAAAAGATTAAAGCATGTATTAAAATAAAAAGGAAGGTTGTGGAGTGGATTTATCGCCCAGATGGATTGACGGCGACTGAACTCGCTTTGCATTATGCGTGCTTACAGAATATTCGAGCAGAAATGCATCAAGTTAGCAATGTATAATACACATATCTATTTATCTGGTTAATATATCTATTTATTATATAACTTATTCATATATTTAAAATAAAACCACCTAAAGTATTCCTTGATGGCTAGTACTTTAGACTTTATTCGATACCCCTTGAGGGCTGGTATCTTTTTTTGTACCAGATTCCCATGCAAACCGAAAATAGTTACTTTATTAGATTTTGCAACATCTAGGTTTCATGTCATCAAACTAATTTGGCTAAGTTCATAGAACATCTACATCGTGCAAATATGGTCACTTGATGTCTTGTGCGACTATATGCAGGGATCCCTAAAATTGGATTAACCGCACATGGTTTAGATTCTTAAAATCATGCATATTAATATATATTTCGATTTTTTCCCATATATTATTGCGAAGCAATGACCCAAAGGGTCTACTATTACTATTAGTGTCAAAAATATTTATGGATCTCTTCAGATTTTTGCAAAGATATTAACCTTGCTAGCTCTGCTAATGTATACTCGGAAAAGGTAGATCGCGAAAGGTCAAAGACCACGAATCAAATGAATATTACTTTTTTCCAATTAATCCTAAAATTCGAATTAGCAGTGATTAGAAATGATTTACTATATTTTAATACAATGATTTAATATATTTTTAGCGTGATTCTAGCTCGATTCTAGCACAAGTATGATATTTTACATATAATTATATAGAAAAAATCTAGCGCGACTCTAACTCAACTCTAGCACGACAACCACATTTAAATCTGATGATGGATTACCAATTTCGGGGTAATAACACACAAATAAAAAAGATCAATTACAAAAACGATTATGGAATTATATAGACCATTTTTTTGCTTGCAAACTTTTTGCGCGCAATCTAATAGTCAATGTTTCATCCTGATTACAACCCCATTATAGCGAAGCTTCCAAAAAGTCTAGTCAAGAGGGCATATCATAGACTTTTATATCACTCTAGGTCTCCTGTTATCCCAGAACGAATTTCTGAAAAATGTGATCGAATTGAGAATTATTTGTACCATACATTAGAGGTATATGAGAAAGGATTAAATAGGAAGCGTAAAAAACAAATCCAAATTATTGAACCACTTGAAAATTTATCACATAATAACAAAGCTAGTGTCAAGACATATATAGATATGACTAATCAAGAAACCCAAACCCAGAATATTAATCCGATCTGCACCTGTAATCATGAGGAAGAAATCAATCGTCGTGTTAAGAAAGAATTAGATATTTTATGTCGACGATTACTTGAATATAATGAAGAAACTTTTGGTAAATTTATGCGAGAAATTATTATAGAGCATGTGGATCGGATCAAAGCTAATAAGAAATTACGATGCGAGGTTGAAGAGAATAGAATTGCAAGAAGCTGAAAAATACCTTGAATATCTGAAATCTCGATCCAGTTAGATAGAAAGATCAAGGGGCTGGTCCCATTCCTTACGAAGATATAAAGCGTCTTCTTTTGCTCTAGTTAAATCGATAACAATAAATTCTCTACCTTGCAAATTTTTATCAAGTATATCAACAACAACGTTACGCCAATTCTTTGTATATCGTCTAGCAATATTAACAAGCTCATCATATGTCCTGAGCCATTAAGTAATCCAGTATAGCTGTCATTAAACTTTTTCGGATCTGGAATTTATCCAGAGTAAGTATCATCT